AAACAGTCCAATTTAAAAAATGGGCAGGGCTGCCCCAGTGGCGCATTGGTTAAGAGTTGGCTTGGGAGCACGAGCTCTGAGCAGCAGGGCTGCTGATTCGGATCCCACATGGGCCAGTGACGCTGTGCCCTCTACAGCTAAGATGGTGAACAGCAGCTTGGCTTGGAGCAGAGCTGCAGAGTGGCCGGCGATGGCGTAGGCTATAGTGAAGCTGCAGTGGGCTGCCATGAGCTACCGTGAGTGGCTAGCAGCCAGCGTGAGCAGCCGGCAGCCAGGGTGATCTGCCGTGAGCGGCAGTCCAATGGCTGGCAATCGACTGCCTCACCCGGGAAGAGCGCAATGATCACAATACCAACATGGGTCAGTGAAGCGACGTCCTCCACAACTAGACTGAAGAACAAAAGGACAGCAACATGTCTGTCTCCCTTCCCAGATTCTGCAATAAAATCTTTTTAAAAAAAAAAAGGGGGCAAAAGACATAAAGAGACATACAGATAGCAAACAAGCACACAAAGATTTTCAATATCATTAGTCATCAGAGGAATGCAAATTAAAGCCACAGTGAGATATCACTACTATAAACCTATCACAGTGGCTAAAATAAAAAATAGTGACACCAAATGCTTGTGAAGATGGAGAGAAACTGGATCACTAATAGCTTGCTGGTGAGTGGGGATGTAAAAACGATATAGTCACTGGAAAATAGTTTGGCAGTTCCTTAAAATACTAAACATATAACTACCATATGACCCAGCAATTGTACTCCTGGGCTTTTTTTTTTTTTAAAGCTTTTATTGGGGAGTTGGGGGAGGGAACAGCGTTGGGGAATCAGGGAAGGGGAACAGACAAGTTGCTGTCCTTTTGTTCTCCAGTCTAGTTGTGGAGGACGTTGCTTCACTGGCCCATGTTGTATCGTGATCATTGCGCTCTTCCCGGCTGAGGCAGATCGGTCGCTGGCCATTGGACGGCTGCTCACGGTGGCTCATGGTGGCTCACAGCAGCTCTCGCCAGCCCCTCATGCTGGCTACCGGCCACTCACAGTAGCTTATGGCAGCCCACTGCAGCCCCACTGCAGCCTACGCCGTCGCTGGGGACTCACAGCAGCCCAGCTGTAGGTCGAACTGTTGTTCACCATCTTAGCTGTAGAGGGCGCAGTGTCACTGGCCCATGTGGGATCCGAACCAGCAGCCCTGCTGCTCAGAGCTCGTGCTCCCAAGCCAACTCTTAACCAACGAGCCACTCAGCCAGCCCATCCTGGGCATTTTTTTCAGAGAAGTGAAGACTTACATGTATGTTCACACAAAAACCTGTATGTGAATGTTTATAATGTTTCTAGCAGCTTTATTCATAATAAACTGCTGCAAACTGAAGGTATCCTTCAACGGGTGATTGGTTAAACAAACTGGTATAGCCACACCTTGGAATACTACTCAGCAATAATAAGGAACAAACTATTCAGACATGCAACAACCTGGATACATGTCTAGATTTCTACTGCAGGAGAAAAGCCAGTCCCAACAGGTTGCATACTACAATATATGATTTCATTTGTCATTCTTGAAATGCCAAAATTATAGAAATTGACAACAGATGAGTGGTTGCCAAGGATTAAGAAAAGTCTTGGGACAGAAGGGAAAGGTGTGGCTCTAAAAGGGCAATGTGAGAAGTCCTTGTGGTGATGGAAACGTCCTGTATCTTGACTGTATCAATGTCAATATCTGGGTTGTTATATTGTACCATAGGTTTGTAAGATGTTACCCCTGGGGGAACTGGGTAAAGGGCACATGTGATCACTTTGTACTATTTCTTACACCTGCATGTGAATCGACAACTATCTCAAAATAAAAAATTTAATTAAAAAAAAGGAGACTCTGTAGCCAGCCCATCATTTCCAGCTTTTGTTTTGCAGAAAGCAGCACTCAAAGCAGTGAGAATCAAGATTTATCAATGGAGGGTGAATTTGAATATTCCCTGTGTTTTGTCCTCTGCTGTTACTCAATTAGGGGTCTTGCCTATTGAGATTACTCTAGGGGCTTTCAGCCTGTCATTTATTTAATAATATTGTTAGTATTTGTTAATGCTTCCATAGGTAATTCAGCTTCCAGGTTGCCCTGGCAACCTAAGATTAATGTCCCCATTTGCTACTAAGAGAAACTAGAAAAATGATTTGCTCAAGGAGCCTCCGAATGCAGGTCCCACAATTCTTTCTTCTTCAAACATGAGTGATTTGGAATCACGCTTATTAGTCCTGATCGTTAAATTCCTCCTCATCTAGCATCTATCTCAGGCGACTTCAGAAATCACCCCCTTTTGAGAGCAGGTAAAGACTCTCAAATCTAGCATCTTACCTGAACCTGAATTCCTCCATTTAGGGCCAGCTTGGACAGAACCAAGGTTTCTCTGGGGACAACAAAGGGGTTGCTGTGGATTCAAGAACAGCAAGATGTTGGAGGTTTTCTCCCAGCAAAGCGTTATGCAATTTTCCTGCTGCTTCTGGGAGTAGCAGGTTTCCACTGACCACATTTGGGGCAGATGTGGGGTGGAGTGTGAGGTAGCATTGCTCCTGGCTTTAGATACTTCCTGTGTAAGAATCACCTCCCTCAAACCAGGGATAAAAGTAGGAACTGAAACAGGCAGCTTGGAAGGCAAAGACCTTGGGATCTTTCTCAGCATATTCCATAGCTGCTCTATGGTGGTGTCATTGGGGAAAATTGGTGTCATGGAAAATTTTACTTCTAATCCCATCATTTAAAGAACTGGGGGAAGAGAATCAACATTGTTTTAAACTTTAAACTCCTTCTTTGTACTGGGCACTATGCTGGATGCTTTGCCATGTGTTAGTTCCCTGAATCTAAACTCTTGAATCTTGAAATCCCTGAAGTAAGCATTTGCATGAACCCCACTATATAATTGAGGGGAGTAGGGCTCAGAGAGGGGAAGTGACTTGCCTAAGTTTGCACAACTAGTAAGTAGTGAGCCTGAATTTAGAGCCAAGTCTCTTAGAATCCAAAGTCTATGTTTTTTTTCTATTTTGTCATGCTGCCATAGAGGCAGTTTAATGTAATGACGAACTGGCTAAGAGTGCGGACTCTGCAATTAGAGGAATTTGGGTTCTATCATTAGCCCCTCCTGGTTTAAGCTGTGTGACAAGTAATTTAGCTTCTCATTTTCTTCACCTTTGTAGGTGGGAGATTACAAATTATTTTAGGGGCCATAATATTGTTGAGGGGATTTCAGGAGATTTTGCATTTAAGGAATGCATATAGCGCCTGGCATATATAAGTGATGGAAAATGTTAGCATTAACCTGTTTCCAAAGAGTAAGCCAGTTTGGTTCCCAGTTCCATCTCAGAGCACTTTATCAATCTTCATTTTCCCCACACCACTCAGAACTTACCTGCTATCAATGCCCTTGTTTCATTAACGATAGGAATCGATAATAGCCCATCATTTTTGTGCATCATCAAATGCCTGGCATTGGACTAGGTGCTTTACTATTTTCATCCCATTTAAAGAAGTGAGTGGCAAAGTCTGGCTGTGGAAATGGGGTGCAATCCCTCCTGTAAGCAGTGGCTGCTTGAAGGCAAAATGAAATGCATCCCTCCATATTGAGGCACAGCAGTAACAGCAACAGGTACATTTGTTGAAGGCAGCCTGCTAAGTGCATTATTGACGGTGAGCTCATGGAATCCTTCAGGCAGGGGATGCTACTTCAGTATCCCTAGTCTACTGATAAAGAAACTGAGGCTTAGAGAAGATAAAAAGCCGTGACAGCTGTTTCGGTTCAGGTGGACATTGATTTACATAACACACATTTCTGAGGCTGATGCTTAAAATGAAAAATTTGCCCCTGTGAATTGCAAAGATGCCTTGCTTTGGGAAGTAAATAGTCCTACCCTTCAGTAGGTCTGCTTTGTGAATTCAGTTTCTCAGGCCCCGTTTTTCCAAATCTTGGTATTTCAGAGGTTGGTATTTCAGAAAGGGACTCTGGCTATTATTAACAGGACAACTTCACGCTAAAGACCAGGAAATTCAGGCATATAGCGGTTAAGGGAACTGTCCCGGGGACACAGTCTGACAACAGCAGAGATGGGACTCAATCCCGGTGCTCTGACTTTCAGGCCTGGGCCATCCAGTTATTAAGCAAACGGGTGAGGAGGGACTTTGGTCAGGAAAAGGAAAGGAGGGACAGTGTATCCTTAATTTCCTCACCTGCGAAATGGGGTCAAGACGGGCCCTTCTGCTTGTGCTGGGGAATACGTGGGTGTGGCCGAGCCCAGTACTAGGAATGCGACAATGGAAAGTGTGGGGAGGGCCAGAGAGTCAGGAGTCCCCAGAAGTGGTGGTGGGAGGGTTTCATAGGAGCAGAGGCGGAGCTTCGGGAGCCAGAGGCGGGGATTCGAGAATTTGGGGCGGGGCTTGGAATTTTAAACGCTTAGATGGTGGGCGGGACTTGCGATGGGGCGAATAGGGTTGCTGGTCCGTGGGCGTGGCTTCTAGAAGTTGTGACGGGGTTTTGTGGTGTTGATAGGCTAGTTCTGAAGCAATGGGAAGGGAGCCGGTCTTAGGGAGCCAAGAGGGCTTGGATAGGTAATGGGCGGGGCTCAGAGGAGCTGATGTTCCGGTTTTAAGGGGCTCTGGGGTAATCTTTGGGAAGCCGGGGATGTGGCTCTGCAGAGTCAAGCACGTCAGTGAGCGGAGCTCAAAAAATACGTCTCCAGCTTCTGAGGAGCAGTGTGCGTGGATTAGAGGCACTTGTGGGCGTGGCCCTCTGGCCACTTCCACGACTAGTGGGCGGTACGTGCATCTGAGCACCGCCTTTCTCCGCGGCCCGCCTGCATTCCTCTGCGCGACCAGCGGGGGGAGGCGTGGAACACAGGGTGGGAAGCGGGCTTCCCCTGCCGGAAGTGGGCGTGACGCGCTGCAGCCCAGAGGTTCTGGTTGGGCGTAGCGCGGCGCGGGGGCGGGGCCTGCGTGCGGCGGCGGGGGCGGGGGCGGCTGCCCGCGCCCCTCCCCCGCGAGGCCCTCAGTGCCAGGCGGGAGGCGACAGCGGTTGGAAGCTTCGCAGGGCTTTGCAGCGGGGACTTCGGCGGCGGCGGCGGCGCCTCAGGCACCTCGGCCCTGGTGAGCAGCGCGCGCCTGGCGGGGTCTCTCAGGAGCGAGCTGGGCGGGCGGACCTGTTCTCTCAGCATGTGCGGGCGCTGGCTGACAGGAGCCGGCGGGGCGTGGGGCAGGGCCGGGTGGAGGGGAATGGGCTGGGGTGGGCGCGCGGGGCGCGCGCGGGTCCTTGGACCGGGGGCCCACCCTGGCCGGTGTGCAGGGGGTGGGGGTCGGGGCTGCTGCAGGAGGCTCGGGGATCGGTGCGGTGTTCGAGTTGGGGACAGAACCGCTTGGCCCGGAGAGAGTGAACCCAGGTCCCTGTGGGGAGGAGGCTGTCTAGGGGAGGCTTTTAGGTGTCCGGAATCCTCCTGGCCGGAGGAGGAGCCGCGGGC